AAGGCAGACGCTTAACGACTGAGCCACCCAGGTGCCCCTACTGTTGCCCATTCCTTTCCACCTCTGAATCAGGCTTTCATTCTCTACCTCTCCACTAAAACTGTCCTTGTCAATGCCACCAGTGTCCTCCACTTTGCTAAACGTCACAGTCACTTCTCCATCCTCATCTTACTTGGCCTATCTGCAGCATTTGACAGAGCGAATCACTCCCTCCTTGAAACACTTTCTAAACTAGGTGCCCAGGAAACCACTCTCCTGAGTGGCTTCCTGACCCCTTCTCTTTTTTGCTGGTTCTTCCTCTTCTCCCTTTATTATTGGAGTGTCTCAGGGCTCAGACCCACCCTCCCTTTTCCTCTATCCACTCACACTCCATTCATGTTCCCTTCCAGTCTTGTGACTTCGGATGCCATCTCTACCTGGATGCCTCCCAGACTCATATCTCCAGCGTCTCCACTGAATTCCAGCCACATACATCCAACTGTCTACTCAACATCTCTACTTGGGTGCCTAATAGGCAACTCTTAACATGCAACTCTCCCCCAACTCAAAATGGCAACACTCTTCCTGGAGTCACCCTTGATTCATCTTTTGAGTCACCTCTCATCGCACATCCAAGTCTGTCAGCAATACCTTCAAAGTACATCTGGAATCATACTTCTTACTACCACCACCCCACATACACACATCTACTTCTCTCACACCCAGACTACGACATTGCAGGACAGAGAGACCTACCTGCCAAATTCTGGCCCACAGATTTTTTTCTCTCTTGCGCTCCAACCCGCTTCTTCTTTCAAGGTGCATCTCAAAATCATGCCTCCTCCAGAGTCTCCTAACTAGCTTTTTTTAAAAAAGTGCAAATCCGGGGTGCCTGGGTGGCTCAGTTGGTTGAGCATCTGACTCTTGGTTTTGGCTCAGGTCATGATCCCAGGGTCATGAGATAGAGCCCCGGGTCGGGCTCCACACTTAGCTCCAGAGTCTGCTTATTCCTCTCAGTCCCCCTTGGCCCCTCCCCCTGCTTGCTCTCGCTCTCTCAAATAGATAAATAAAATCTTTTTTTAAAACAAAGTGCAGGGTGGCTGGGTGGCACAGTCGGTTAAGTGCCTGCCTTCAGCTCAGGTCACGATCCAGCTGGGGTCCTGGGATTGAGTCCCTGCTCAGCAGGGAGTCTGCTCCTCTCCCTCCCTCTGCCCCTCCCCCAGCTTGTGCTCTCTCTCACTTACTCTCTCAAATAAATAAAATCCTTAAAAAATTGTTTTAAATAAAATAAAATACATTTTTTTTAAGATTTTATTTATTTGACAGAGAGAGACAGTGAGAGAGGGAACACAAGCAGGGGGAGTGGGAGAGGGAGAAGCAGGCTTCCTGCTGAGCAGGGAGCCCGATGCGGGGCTCGATCCCAGGACCCTGGGACCATGACCTGAGCTGAAGGCAGACGCTTAACGGCTGAGCCACCCAGGCGCCCCTAAAATACATTTTTTAAAGGTGCAATTCCAAAAGTCTGTCAATAAAGAACCTAAACTGAGGTGCCAAACTGACCAATTCTGATATCCTTCTGTGGCAATAATTTGCCAGAAATAAGTCAAGCTCCCCTCTGTAGATGGCCTCAGTACCCATCTGGACTGATCTGTTCACAGGGTACCTGCCTGGCCCCTGTAGCTCCTGGTTCAACGATCTCCACAACAGGCCAGTCTGACAGCTGGAACACTGCTAAGGAGGATGCCTGATAATTTTTAAAGAAATCCACTGAGAAATAAATATAAAGGTTTAGTCTTTTATCTAACTCATAGGGAAAATTGCTGGCAGTGATAATCAACAAGAAATAAAGCAAAAAATAACCAAAAGAGAATATAGAAATCTTGGATCTGCAAAACTTGACCTGAGAAAAATGGAATTGATGGAAGGTATGGCCATACACATATCAACAAAACCTTACAATACAAGATGTTGTTACTAAAATTTCAGATGGAGCCAGAACCCAATCCACAAGTCAAATCGTTTCAAAATACAAACAGATCTCTTTGTAGCCAGAAATAAAACAAAAATGCCCACTGTATGTTCGTTATATGAGAGGTCCTGGCTAGTGCAGTAAGACCAAAAAAAAAGTGTAAGATCTGAGCAGAAAGAGCAAAACCTTCGTTATTCAGACAATATTGACTATCAACACAGAAAAACAAAGTGATTCTAAAAACCATTGGAAATTTTAAAAGATGTCAACATTGTTGCTACTACACAAAATTCAATTTTATGCCCTTTATTTTTTTTTAATTATTTATTTATTTATTTGACAGATACAGAGAGAAAGGGAACACAGCAGGGGGAGTGGGAGAGGGAGAAACAGGTTCCCCGCTGAGCAGGGAGCCCGATTCAGGGCTTGATCCCAGGACCCTGGGATCACGACCGGAGCCGAAGGCTGACACCCAACGACTGAGCCACCCAGGCGCCCCTATGCCCTTTATTTTTTTTAAAAGATTTTATTTATTTGAAAGAGAAAGAGAGCACAAGCAGGGGGAGTGGCAGACAGAGGGAGATGGAGAACCAGGCTCCCCACTGAGCAGGGAGCCCGATGCAGGATACGGGGTGATCCCAGGACCCTGGGATCCTGACCTGAGCCGAAGGCAGTTGCTTAACCAACTGAGCCACCCAGGGGCCCCAGTTGTATTCCCTTTAAATACCAATAACAAATATGTAATTTCTAAACCTATTATTTACAATAGCAACCAAACCATACCATACCTTGGAATAATTTAATTATGCAAGACCCTTATGAATAAAACTATAAAATGTTATTGCAATTTATAAAAATAATAAGACTTAAATAAACGAGACATCCAGTGAGGTTATAGATGGAGCAATTTTGTATTATAAAATGGCAATTATGTACAAATTCAATGCAATTCCAATTGAAATCCCAAAAAATGGTTTCCTGGAACTTAGCAGACTGATTCTAAATTTTGTACAGAGGATCCAAATATAGCTGAGACAGCCTTATGGAAGAAGGAAGAATGCTTCCCATAAATAAAATAAGAGTTCAGTTTTCTCTTTAGAATTTGGAGTATCTGGCTATAGAGGGCTCTCACTTATGGAGAGCAATAATCAGCTAGAGCTGATTGCGACTGCCCCTTCAGATAAAATACCTGCTCTCCATTTCACCCAGCACATTGTTCTTATTTAAGGTACCTGCCTGATCCTGTAGATATTTGTATGATATTGCCTCGGGTGGGAGGATAGGGAAGAGGAATGGAAGAGATTGTTTTAAATTATGTAGGTTCTATTTGGTTTTGTAAAAGTCCTCCCAGTGAGCTGGCAAACAGAAAGAAGAAAAGAGTGGATTACATGACTCTAATAAGAGTTTGATGCTTCTGGTAGTGACCTGAGTATGATCATGGGAATGTGTGGCAGAGAAGGGATGGAGGAAAGCACTCCAGAGGTTATAATGTAAGGGAACTGGAAGGTCCAAATGGCACAAGAGTTGGAGATGTCGGCTTCCCTGAGACCAGTATGTGGAACTGGGTGAAGCGAAAGATCGTAAGATGAGAACTCATAGGGACTCCATAATGCTAAGTAGAACTAGAGGATATGGCAGAGAAATAGGAGAGAATCCAACACCAACAGAAGGATGACCTTTCCTGGAAATCCCACTGTGGACCAAGCTCTTTGACACAGGCTATCTCCTTGAACCCCAACACTAGTCCTCTGAGAGTAGACCTTATCCCTTTGTTATGGATGAGCAAACTGAAGCTATGAAAACTGAGGTCATTGGCCCCATGTGACAAGGTTGAGATTCAAAGCAGTCAGATTCACACTAGGGTCTCCCTATCTCCACCTCTTCTTTCACCAAAGTCACAATGGCCACTGAAGCACCCTGAAATGCCCACAGACTTGCATTAAGAAAACAAAGCTAACAAAGGGTATTGTTAAACCCATCCCCTCAAACACCCAGATTTTATCAATGCTTTGTTCCAAAGCTCCAGTTGAGAGAGATGAAGGAGGAACAGAAATTCTGTCCAGCGCTAACTTTAGCCAAAAATCTTTGTGTTAACCAGATTTTTCTGGAGAGTCTGACACAGACATCCTTGATCCACAATGTCAGAAGCAAGCGATTTTAGAAATACAAGCCAGCTTCACGCGGTCGCCTATTAACTCTGCCAATTCACCAAGTGTTTTAACCCTGTCTCCAAGCCCCCTGCCTCCTGTAAGATGGGTGTAATTACAGCGTGGTTTTGGAAGATTCCATGTGATAAGGCTTGCAATTGTCCTAATGTGCTTAGAACAGTGCCGGGCGCTGAAGAGCTCAATATATTATAATTGTCATCATGAGTATGATGAAGGCCTTTTTAAAAAATAATTCAGTATTACTTAGAGGTGTATCAAAAAATAAGAAGGACTTATGGATAGAGGTGTAGTGTGACAAGGCATAGAAAATTTCTGATAGAAAGTTAAAATAGTCCAAAGTTAGAGGTAAAATAGCCACTGGGTAAAATTCTTTCAACTTTCTCTATGTTTGAAAATGTCTATAACCCAACGCTGGAAAAACAATGCACTGTCGTGTGCTTTGGGAGGAGGAGGAGTTAGTTTCGTTTTGTTTCTTGATAAACAGAAAAGGTATCGAAAAGAAAACAAAATGGGCGAGATCTTCCTCCGCTCGGGCCCGCCTCAGGGCCGTTCGTGATGCTGCCGGAATGAAATCGAGGACCGCTTGCGAAAGAGCAAATCCTCGAGAGCGTGGCCCGGGGCTGCCAAGCCCTCGCAGCGGACAGGGACGCGCTCCAAGCGGCGCATCCCGCCTCGGCGCCCAGGAGGTGGGGCCGGAGCGCGCCGGCGGACACGAGGCTCGGCCGTTACCCGAGGGTTCCGGGCCGGCGCTAGCCGCGCGCGCTGCGGGTAAATACCTTCAGCGGGGCGGGGGAGAGAAGCGTCGAATTTCAAAAAAAAAAAAAAAAACACAACAACAACAACCCACCAAACCCCCACAGCCCCGGGCGGGCGGGCGCGCGGATGGGCGCCCTTTGGCTGCGGGAGCGAGTGGAGGATGCTGGGAAGGAGGTAAAATGGCCACCGGCGGCGGCGCGGAGGAGGAGAGGAAGCGGGGGCGGCCGCAGCTCCTGCCCCCCGCGCGGCCCGCGGCTCGCGGCGAGGAGGCCGAGGGCGGCCGCGAGAAGATGGGCTGGGCCCAGGTGGTGAAGAACCTGGCC